TTCTAACCTTTTCCTCCTACATCCACTGGATCATCTCCCGTGTGCACCCACTTTGGATGGACTGGGTAGAAAAGGTACTGAAGGACAGAATGGGGCAAGGTCAGTCTACTCAGTGGGCAACTGGTACAGCCGTGGTCACTCCATGAACTATCTCGCAAGGTTAGGCAGATTGTGGCATCTTTTTATTCCTCTGGCTTGCTCCCCACCCAGCACCCACAGAGGCCAAGTGCCCCAGCGACCCCTCCCCCCAGGCTCATGTCAGAGTTGGCTCTGCTCTGTGTCCCAGCTGGGTGGTCCTGGGCAGGTTAGCTAACCCATCCGGGGCTGGGTTCTCATCTGGAAAGTGAGGCTAATACTGACTTCGTAGGGCTGCTATGAGGAGGAAATCAGATAACACAGTGCTCAATTAACTTTTACTCTCTGCCTTTCTGTCCCTTCCCCGAAACTGCTGCGAGGCTGCCCTTTCCAATAAAGTGCCTGGGAGAGCAGAGCCATCAATTACGGAGCCACTCACTGGCCCAGACTCCTCTTCCCTGCTACAGAAAGAGCCAGAAGAACACTTTTCAAATGTAGTTACTTCCCATGGAAACAGACTAGCAGTTTCAGACGCTTCTCTTCATCTCTCTTCTTCTGTGACAGCTGGACAACTCCTTCAGCCATTGGGCTTGTTTTTCTTTGGTTATGAGCTGGCTTTTAATCCCATAAAATTTGTGAAAAGTAAAGACAATCCTTGAATAAAGGGGTGATGTGACTAAGGCATAAGAAAATGCAGAACTCTGTGTGTATGCTGGGATGCAGAGACAAACCGGTGGCTGGGAAAATACAGTCCCGGTCTCCCTGGTGGGGAGTCCTGGAGGAGGGGTGAAAGGGACAGCCAGTCATGCCTGTGTGCCCCTGAATGAAGCCATGCACGCAGGACGTAGTCCTGCCCTCTGAACACCAGAGCAGTGGTTCTCAACTTTGGCTGTCCTAGAGTTGCCTGGGAACTCTCAAAATGAGGCCAGTGCCTGCCTCCCACGCAGGCCAGTTACAAGAGAAGCCCTGGGGTGCTGCTTGAGCATCCCTACATTTGTTCAGACTGAAGCCATTCTCCTGTGCCGCCAGGGTGGAGACCCTGCTTATCTGAGCAGAACGGGAAGGTTTGCTCTCTCCTAAATGGACAGCTGCATCCCCTCCATCAGGACCTGGTTCCCACCCCTGAGGCTTCAAGATCAATTGACTTAACCATTTTCTACATTCTGAAATTCTTGGCCAGTGAAATAAGGAGCTAGGGTTGGGTTTATGGTGTTTGGTAACAAACACCACTTCTTGTTCACTTGGGCTACTGGTTTGCTTGGGGAGGGAGCAGGACATCTGCCCAGAGAACCCGTTCCATCTTCGAGGTCTGGGGACAGTTTGGTACAAGGAAGACCTTAAAGGCTGCCCCACTCTCCTTGTGTTTCATTTCCCTTCCCTTCTGCTTCCCACACTCACCATTAGATGCCCCAGGGTGAAACCAAATGTGTGGACATATGCTCATGCCTACTCTGTCAAAAGTCGAGAGTTTTCTAGGACTCCGAGTGGGAACTAGAACGATTTTCCACCCCTCCCCTCCCTCCATCCCTCCCCATCCCTCTCAACAAGCCCATCAATCACTCTGAACTTCTTTGAGAAGAAAGAAAAGAAAGAAAGGGGATACGCAGGGAGACAAGAGAAGATGCTGCTGGCCTTCAGCAGAGAGAAATGGAGAGAAAAATCGCCAAAAAAAAAAAAAAAATGAACAAGACCTGAGAAACCCAACTCAGCAAAAATAAGTTTGAGAGACACACTGGAACATCGTTCTTCAAAGCAGGACAAAATGTGGAGGATCCTTTGCTTTTTATGGCTGGAACCCAAGATGGCGCCCCTCCCTCCTCTCAGCCCTCATCCCTGCCTTGTTCTTTGAACAAAGATGATGCTGACATTACACTTCTGTTTGGGGGGAAAAAAAAATCAATGATCAATTTGGACCTCTCAGGCCAAATCCCCAATTTGGGAATGCAGTCAAAAAACCAGAACTCCATCCCAAGGAGGAAAATGGATGAAAGCCGAGTGTATTTGAGTATGGGATTAAGGGTCATAGGCACTGGTTTTGCATGAACTGATCTTGTCTTCCTGGGATATGTTTTTAATGCAGTGATGACAGCCTTCCAGTGGCTGTTGGCAGCATCTCAGTATCTTCAGGGATGAGAGGGAAGGGGGTGTTTGGGGAGCCTTTTTCCCAGCAGGCTTGGAGGCGATTAGCACAAGTCACGAGCATGGAGGGGGAGGAGGAAGCCAGGATACAGTCCCCTGGCTTATTAAGAGTGAGAACCAATGCTGGAATCCTCAGGGCAAAAAAAAATCAATGACCCAGGAAAACTACACCAGCTGACAGCCCCAGGAAAAGCCTCAAGGAAGAGTTGCAAAGAAGAGAAAGGCTTAAGTAACTTTCCAAAACTCTGCACTGTTAATCTCCTGCGAGGCCCTATACTGTACACACAATGGCTGGGACCCCTGACATTCTGATACTTTCTTTCATGTGGAAACACCATCCTTCCTCCATCCTCTTCTTCCCAGGGCAAAGGGCTCCCAAGTGCCCCCCCCCCCCCCCCCCCCCGCTTCAGTTTTTGATGTTTCCCTTGTTTAGAAAAACAAGCAAGTATCTGCATTGTGGAAGGCTGCTCCCCAGCGCTGGGCTATTCGTGTAAGGCTCGGGGGTGGGGGTGGGGGGCACGGTCTCCTTATAGACCTCTGGTTTCTAATGCCTCCAAGTTCATAAAAAAGAGCAGGACCACCTGTCCCCAGGAAAGCAGGTGTCAGGTTTTGAGGACCCGAGGGTGGGGGGGAAGGGGGTTTTGGAATTACATGATCAGTATCCACTGCTTTGACTAAAGCATTCAACTAAACCCTCAGACAGTCATCATTGGAGCTTGGAATTTTCCCCAATGCTGTATATCACACAGTTGGGGGGTCCCTAAAGGTTTCAAGTCAAATCGATCAACTTTGAAAGACTCCATCTTTCTGAGCCTTCTCTAATGTTTCCCCAATGCCACACAATATAGCATTTAGATTTAAACCTGAACATGTCTGTGCTTTGGGAGGATGTCTTTTTTTTTTCTTTTCTTCTCCCCAAAAGCCTCCCTGATACTCTCTCTCTAGCCCTCAGATCCCTGAAGAGCAAGGCTGATCAGAGTTAAAATGGGGGCTGCTTGTGGATGGACCTGGCCGTATCACCACCTACGACCGGCTCAGGGAGTTTTAAACCCTAGAATTCAGGTTCGCACCGAAAGCAGAAAGAAATAATTCTTTTGTCATTTACTGTCATTTAGAAGAACATGTATCAAAATATCCATTTCCCTTAGGATGAGGTGCCCTTGTTGGATAGCTCCAGCACATCTTCTAGAATAGTCGCTACATACAGACAATTCCAAACTTGGGTGGTAACCTACAGACGGCCACAAATACTGCAACTGCTTCACTAAAGAAACAAACTCTGAGTGTCTATAATCTGTGAAAACAATCTAATGGTTACACCGCAATTAACCTAAAGCAGTATTTGTTCAGTTGCAATGATGTCACCAAAAAAAAAAAAAAAGGCTTGTCAGCTTTCAATGCTTTCTCCACAATATTCAGAGCTAGAGGGTGGCGGATTCAGAACTGCTTTCCATAGCTTAAATCAGCAAATACAGAACTTTCTGAGCAGCCAAGAAAAGTTCTATTACCAAAAAAAAAAGTCAATAGCACTTGAAAAGCATTTCCCTAGCACATTTACCACAGCATTCTGACCCTGTGGTGCTTGATTTTTAAGGACCACGGTTTGCTTGCCAAATAGGCATATCTTGGCTTCCTTTGCTAGGTAGAAACACTGCCTTGATATTAAATATTCAAAGCAAAGAACCTCTGACCTAAGAGCTCTCAGCTAACAATGACATTCTCTGTAAGTAAACTAGAAACCCAACTCAGCTTCTGGTTTGCCAGTGTTCTCTGCCATGTACTAGTCTCCTACAGAGCGGGGTGAGCAGTGACTCCGTTTACCATGATTAGATTGCAAAAGACCCTGCAGGCAAAAGCCTGGACTTGGCAGAAGATCCCTGGAGAAGGGGGAGAGGGGGGTTCAGAGCTGCCTCCTGGGCTGGGCAGGGGCTGGGGAAGGCTGAAGGCCTCCAGCTTCACCAGAGGGAGACCCAGGTCGGTTACAACTGCAAGGACTTTGTTGCTCTAAGCAAGTGCATCGGTAATACAAAAATGTGGCTCCTCCAGCCGTCATCAACCCAGAAACTTCTCTCACTTCGTGGAGTCACACCTACAACCCCAGAACTGGTATCAGCTGCGGGAGATTCTGTGTGAGTCTCCCCAAAGAAAAGCCTCACCGTTTACTGGGAGGAGGGAGTCATTATTTTTTGTAAAGGAGACTGGGACTGGAGGGGGCGGGGGCGCTGGTACCTTTTGGCGGTAAAGTCAAGACCCCCCCGCCCCCGCCCTCCAGTGTCAGTTCTGTAAACTTCTGCTCATCTGGCACACGGACCTCCCGGCGGGCTTCCCTCCCTGCCTGCCGGCTCAGACTTCAGGTCAGACGTCCCCTGGGCTAGTCTCCTTACATGGGTACCCGAGAGGCTGGCTGGGGCGCACCGGGACCATGCGAGTGGCAGACCAAGTGCAACTCCTCGGACCAGCACGTGGATTGTACGGCGCTGGGCGCGGCACAGGGCTTAGGAGCCTCCAGGGGACATGCATCCGTCAGAGTCGGGTCCCTGATGCCAGGACCCGATGCGGGGAAATTGACGAGGTAAATAGCAGGGGGAGAAACTCCAAATATGTTACCCCACACACACACACACACTTCCTTGGGGAGGGGAGGGGCTCCTGTGCCATCACTCCACACGCAGCCACCTCTATGCCAAAGGCTCCCACCAGGCAAGAAAACTGGCTATGAGCGTGCCTCAACTTCAATCCAACCCGGCCGTGCCCCCTCGGAAGGCTGCCCCCCGCCGAGGGCTCACCTGGGCGCACCGCGGCGCGGGGGGCGCGGGGCGAGGGAGGGCGCTTCTTACCGGAGAAGTCCGTGAGCGCCGCGATCTCTTTGGAACAGACCAGGACCGCGCAGTAGAAGAGGCGCAGGAGCTGCCCGGGAGGCTCTACCTGCCTGCGGAGCCCAGGATGCTGCGCGGGCTGCGGGGCGGGCGGCGGGCGCGCGTGTCCAGGCAGAAGCATGGTGCCCGGCGCGACCCAGCGCGGGCGCGGGCCCGGGGCGCGACGGGGGTCCCTGGGCGGAGCGCAGCGTCACATGGCGGGGCGAGTCGGTGGCCTGCGGCTCCGCGGCCCCCCCGCCCCCCGCCCCGCCACCTCCACCTCCCGGCTCAGGCTGCCAGAGCCTCTTCCCAGCGCAGGTCGGCACCAACTCCCCAGCAAAGGGGAGGGGGCGGAGAAGTGGGGCGGGGCGAGGAGCCCCGGGAAGGATTCGCGTAGTTTCCCCGAGAGGAAATCTCCGCTGCCGCCCCGCGGGAGGAAACGAGGGGGGCCGAAGGGAAAGTGTAGCCTTCGCGCGCCCGGCGGCTGCGGAGGCCGGTCCCTGGCGCGCTGCCCGCCGCGGAGGGCGCCCCCAGCAGCGCACCAAGGACCGCGCAACTCGAGCGCCTTGCACGCCTGGGTCCCCGCCCCGGAGACTGCCCGGCACCCCTGGCCCGGCCCGCGCTGGCCCGGTGCCAGCCTCGCCCTGGCTGCGGGAGGAGCGCGGCCCGTGCCCGTGACGCACTTTGGAGCCAGCGCCGCGAGTTGAGCCCAGGGGCCCCCGGGGCGGGGCCGAGGCAGGGGCCGCGGGAAGGTGGGGTCCTGGGGGTGTGGGACCCCAGCACTGATGTCCCTGCGACCTGCGGCGCTCCTCGTGTAGCATTACCAAGCACGCACAGTTATCCCCATTTCACGGAGGAGGAGACTGAGGCCCCGCGCTTTGCCCAAGCGAACGCAGCCAGGACGGGAACGAGAAGGGTTCGGGGACGGGGGCTTCAAAGCGGGTCAGATGGCTCCAGAGGCGGTTTCTTTCTTCTCGCTCCGACTACGCTTCTTTGGGGTACTGGTTGTCCGCAGCGCCCAGAGGCTCTGACACTGACCTGGCATAAATAGCACCGAGCGCTAATAATTGGGCTTTGTTTTAAAATGGGCCACCGCATCTTTCGGAACCTCTCGATTACGCGCGGTGTGACCCAGGCCCAGCCCGTGGGCGAGGAGCGGACTGCGCGACCCGGGCTCGGGGGTACAGAGGACAAGGGCGTGGGAGCGCGTGGGGGCTCGTGGCTGCGCGCAGGGTACGGGAACCAGGGGGCCCCAGCGACCCAAACCCCGCGGACTGGGCGAGCGCCGGCGGCAGGGAGGAGGGCTGGGCCGGCGAGCGCTCGGCACAAAGTGTTCCCGAACACCGCGGGGAGGCCCTGCCAAGTTCTCGGCGGGCCTGAAGCGGAAACGTAGATAATGAGGCCCAAGGGCGGGACCAGGCGTACTGCCCCAGCCGGCTCCCCACTGCCAGGGCCGCACAGTGCAGCGGCGGGGAGGCTTGGGGACAGAAAACCCAGACGCGCCGATCTACCTGTGGGACCCTCGTAGAGATGCGCCGCAAGGATCCAGAAGGGCTGGAGGACTTGGAGTCCCACAGTGCTCCGCCAGGGGCTCCGTCGGAGGAACTGGTATTTCTGGCCCTTTCCTCCCTGTCTGTAGGTGGGGTGGCAAATGCTAAACCTCAGTATTTGTTCAGTGGGACCCATTCTACCAGGCACAATGAATTTTTAAAATCTATATTAAAATACTCAACCTTCGGGGCGCCTGGGTGGCTCAGTCGTTAAGCGTCTGCCTTCGGCTCAGGTCATGATCCCAGGGTCCTAGGATCGAGCCCCGCATTGGGCTCCCTGCTCCGCGGGAAGCCTGCTTCTCCCTCTCCCACTCCCCCTGCTTGTGTTCCCTCTCTCGCTGTGTCTCTCTCTGTCAAATTAATTAATTAAAAAAAAAAAATACTCAACCTTCTCCGGGTGCCTGGCCGGAGGGTAAAACATGCAACTCTTGATCTCCAGGTTGTGAGTTCCAGCCCCATGTTGGGTATAGAGATTATTAATTTCTTTTAATCTTTAAAACAAAAAACAAACGTCAACCTTCTCAATAACTTTTGGACATAAATATTAGTGTGCACTTTCTAGGTTGGGGAAACTGAGGCTGGGAGGATAGGTAAGGATGCCTAGCACTAGGAGCCACTGAGTAAGTAATGTTTGCTCAAAACTCGGGTCCCTCGTGTAGTTTGCATCCCAGCCATTCACCCATCTGGGTTAGGTATGAACTGGTGTGTGCTGGGGGCTGTGGGGGCTAGCACAGTCAGGGAACCTTGCTCCCACAGGGCTGGGGGATGCTGCTATGGTCGTGTAGGCATTAACTGGTTTCCAGGTGCCGGTGTGGGCTCCGTTACTAACCATGCACCCTCATGGTTTCCTTCTCTGTAAAGTCTCAGGCTTGTGACACTTTAATTAGTTGATACAGGTGACATGGGTAGGACAGGGCCTGGAGCTGGTAAATGCTCAGTCAATATTAGTCATTATTACAGACAGGAAGACAGACAGTGACTAGAGGATCATAAACTAAAAGGGGACACAGAGCAAAAGAGAGGGGGAGCTGAGTGGGAGGTGGAGAGGGAGGCGTTAGGGACTTTTTAAATTAAAAAAAATGTTTCATTGGAGTATATTTGACATACCATGTTTTGTTAGTTTCAGGTGCACAACATAGTGATGAGACAATTCTCTATGTTACAAAATGCTCGCCACATATGTATAGTCCCCATCGGTCATCATATGTTGTTACAATATTATTGACTATATTCCCCATGCTGTCCTTTTCACCTCCAAGACTGATTCATTTTATAACTGGAAGTCTGTACCTTTTATTTATTTTTTTAAAGATTTTATATATTTATTTGTCAGGGAGAGAGCACGTACACAAGCAAGAGGGGCGGCCGGCAGAGGGAGAAGCAGGCTCCCCTCTGAGCAAGTAGCCCACTCTGGGACTCGATCCCAGGACCCCGGAATCATGACCTGAGCCGAAAGCAGACGCCCGACTGACTGAGCCACCCAGGCATCCCAAGTCTATACCTTTTAATCCCCTTCACCTACTTCTCTCATCCTCTCAGCCCCCTCCCTTCTGGCAACCACTAGTTTGTTCTCTGTATTTATGAGTCTGTTTCTGGTTTTTAGTTTGTTCATTTGTTCCTTTGTTTTGTTTTTAAGGTAAGATGGATAGGAAAGGTGGGAGGAGTTTACCAAGCAAAAACTAGCCAAAGCTAGGTGTTTGGGAGGGTGAACATTTTAGAAAAAGGGACCAGTGGAGCACGTGGGTGGCTCAGTCAGTTAAGCATCTGACTCTTGATCTCAGCTCAGGTCTCCATCTCAGGGTCATGAGTTCAAGCCCTGTTTTGGAGCCTACTTAAAATAAAAAAGGAAGGGAGGGAGGGAGGGAGGGAGGGAGGGAGGGGGAGGAGAAGGAAGGAAGGAAGGAAGGAAGGAACGAAGGAAGGAAGGGAGACAAGCATGTATGAAATCCAAAAGGAGCATTCCATAGAAGAATGGAGAGAAGTCTAGAGCGAACAGGGCAGAAATCAAAGGGTGGGGCATGGTGATGTGGAGTTGTTGGTAGCCAGAGCTCAGGGATCCAGAGACTTTGGTGAGCACTTCCATCTTTACCCTAAGTCCTTGTGAGCATTCCTGTCTTTATCCTAAGCCACCAAAATGTTGTTAGCAGATGAGTGAGGTGATCAGGTGTGTGTTGGTAAAAGATTGGTCTGGCTGCTGAGTGTCACTGGACTGGAGGGGTCAAAAGTGGGTCCAGGGATTTTATACCCAAAAGAAGTGAGAGCAGGGACTCAAACAGATACTTGCAAGACAATATTTTCTGCAGCTTTATTCACAATAGCCCAAAGGTAGAAGCAACCCAAGTACCCATCGTCAGATGAGTGGATGAACAAAATGTGGACGTAAAAAGGAATGATTTCTGATACATGCTACATGCTACAACATGGATGAACCTCGAAAACATTATGGTAGGTGAAATAATCCAGACACAATATGATAAACATTGTATGGTTCCACTTACATGAAATATCTAGAAAAGGCAAATTCATGGAGACAGAAAGTAAATTCGAGGTTACTAAGAGCAGGGAGAAGGGAGAATGGAGAATTATTACTTAATGGGTCCAGAGCTGTTGTTTGGGGTGATGAAAAAGTTCTGGAAATAGATAGTGGGGATGGTTGCACAACATGGTGAATGTAATTAACACCACTGAATTGTACCCTTGAAATAGCAAATTCTATAGGGTTTTATAACTTCAGAAAATTAATAATGCAGTATTCCAAAAAATGTCAAACTCTATGCTTTAAATTGGTGGGTTGCGTGGTATGTGTATTATATTTCCATAAAGCTTTTTTTTTTTTTTTAATCAAACAATAACAACATCAGAGTGGATTCAAGGGGATGGCTGGGGGGATGTGTAGTCAGGAGGCTATGGCTATGCTTTGGGGCTGGGGCTTTGCAGGCCCAGAGAGAAGGGGCAAGTAGCCAAATTGGAAAGGCCTTGGGAGGGGGTGGACAGTGCTGGGTGACCAGGCTACTGGGGGACACAGGAGAGAGGAACCTGAAGGACAATTCCCGGCTGCCCTCAGCTTTGCCCCTCAGCTACTTGCTGCAAAGCCAGATTTTAGTCCTAATCTGATCTCTTTAAGGATTTTTGGAATCTCATGAGAAAGTTAAAGAATTCCATTTATCTTCTTCTCTGAACCCCACACTTCCAAGTCCCTTTGTGCCCCAACCAAATGGAAACCAGTTACTGCCTATCCCCGATTTCCCTCTCTCTAAATATTATACAGTCGAATACCTCAACTCTGGGGCACCATAAAAACTCTTAGGACAGGAAAATGGGGGGCGGACACACACTTCAAAGAGAGGGAAACTTGTAAAATCCATCTGGGGCATGAAGAGAAATGACCTTTCCCACCAAGACAGTCCCCACCTCCCCCGTACTCTTCCTCCTATGATGGAATTTTAAAAATCACAAGCAGTCGGAGCCACTTGGTTATCCGGCACGACTCCAGGAGCCGGAATCAAAGCGAATGCAGTGTGATGAGTGAGGATGAGCCCAGCAAGAGCGCTTCTGAAACGTCCCTACTCATAGCAGCCCCGCAGTTAGCACCTAACCAGGATCGGCTACATAATTCGCTGGCCTCGTGCAGCATGAAAGCTCGGGGTTTCTTGTCCAAAAATAATTAAGAATTTCAAGACAGCGACAGCAGAGCATGTAAACCGAGCACGGGCTCTTCCAGCACGTGGTCCTGAGCGGCTGCACAGGTCACGTGCCCGCGAAGCTGGCCGAGATGTTACCACTGTCTCTAGATCTCAGACGTGGAAACTGACCACACAAAGTCAAACAGACCATCTGTGGCAGAATCTGAAGCTTTCTTAACCGGCAAAGACGCAGAAATCCGGGATGGACACCGGTATGGAGTAAAAGCGTTCCTTTCTATTGCGTGGTCTTGCCCCTCCTTGCACACAAGTGTGAGAAGCGCCCCTGTACCTGCCACCTTCATTCTGTGTGAGAGGCAGCCTTTGTGGGACATTGTTAATTCCATGCCTTCCCCCCCCCACCCCCACCGCCCTTCCTCTTTGGAAGCAATCCTGTCCCTTCTTTCCAGCTCTGAGGGACATGCCTCTTTTCCTCCTTTTTTTGAGACCCTGGCTCCTTCCCTCCCCACGGAGCCAAGCCTGTATTGGAGGCTGTCTGTGGGCTGTGTGCTCAGACTCCCCGTGCTGCGGCCGGCTTCTCTCCTGGGCCATCGAGGTAAAGCTCTGGCCTTTCAACAAAGACAGGCTACTGCCATTCTCAGAAGACATAAGCCACCATTTGTCAGCCTCAAAGAGACCAACCTTTCAGCCCAGGAGAGCGAGGCCGAATGTTGTCCAGAGCTAAAAAGGCTTATTTTTATTTATTTATTTATCTATCTATCTATCTATCTATCTATCTATCTATCTATCTATCTATTTATTTATTTATAAAGATTTTATTTATTTATTTGAGACAGAGAGAATGAGAGAGAGAGAGCACATGAGAGGGGGGAGGGTCAGAGGCAGAAGCAGGCTCCCTGCCGAGCAGGGAGCCCGATGCGGGACTCGATCCTGGGACTCCAGGATCATGACCTGAGCCGAAGGCAGTCGCTTAACCAACTGAGCAACCCAGGCACCCAAAAAAGGCTTATTTTTAGAAAGCAACAAATGGTGGTTTGTTTATAGAGCTGACAGCAAATAGCTACATCAATAGCAAAGAGCCTGCTCACTGAGGACTGAAGGCTGGGGGAGGAGGGGGCACTAGGAAGGATGTGAGGGGGCCTACAGAAGGAGGCCTTTAAGAATATGCCAACTGATGACTATACGGCAGTCCGTCCAAGGTCAAAGGCATCAAGTGCAATAGGGTCTACTCTGCCACATGCAGAGGCATTTGACCTCCCTGCCCTCGTTTTCCACATCTGCAAGACGAAAAGCTTGGGCTGTGCAGTCCATTTGGGCTCCAAGAGCCCATAACCTATTTAAATTAGATGTAGGATTTCAGGAAATTGGGCTAAATCTATATGATTCCTTGACATTCCTTGACATTTTCTCAAATACATCTTTTCATTCATTTCTGGATATGCTACCCGTTTGTTTCTATGTCAGTCATATTTTTCTCTTTCTAAAAGAAGAATGCGATGCAAGCAGACTTCTGGGGGTCCTTGGAGCAATGCGAATGAGTGAATTCTGATCCATGGGGGATTTCAGTGTAAAACTTCCCAAGTATCCAAAGCAGTGAGCTCAGTTTCTGAAAGAGAGCAGACCCTTCCCCCTCAAGACTAGAAGGTGCTAGGTCCCCATGGAAGCTCTGAGGTTGCTCTCTGCTGCCTTCAGCAGCACTGCAGGAAGCCAGGTCTGCCTGAGAGAGACCCTAGTCTTCTCCAGAAACCCCTAACCCCCTCTCCACCCTCTTGTCTTCTCCTCCCTTCCCTGTTGGGGGCCGGGCACCCATCCTACCCAGCTGTCTGCCATCAGAAAGGAAAGTGTGCTGAGGGAAGGAAGCTCTGTAGTATGTTGGAAAGAAGTCCGTGTAGCTCTGAAAACCAAGCTTGCCCTACAGGTGTAGGGCAGAGTGTAGGGCAATGGTTAGTTGTATGTGTTCTGTGGTCAGAGCTCAGGCACAGAGGTTCGAAGCCCAGCTCTGCCGCTCTGGATACTTATGTGGGGATAGTGGTACCGTTTAGAGCTAATATAGCTGAAAGGCTAGTCAGAGTGGAAGCCTCATCGATGGTAGCCATGATAATAAATATAACCATTTCATGGGAGACTTAGTGTATTATTATTTATTGAGCATAAGACAGTGTTTGACTTCCATTTGAACCATTGGAAATGTCTCTGTGACCAAATATACTTTCCCTTCTTAGGTAAGAAGGAAAGTAGTTTCCAACTTATCCATCTCAATGACAGTGACCCTGGTCCCCTGGTGGGACACTGAAAAGGGTTTTATTACCAGATTTTGTTTTCCTTTTCCTGTGAACTGGCTAGGACATTGTCCCCAGTCCTGGTTTTTTAATATCCTCTTTTTCTCCCCACCTCTGGTCCACTCTGTCAGGCTCCTCAGGCCTGGCTCACCTCCTCCCCTCTTCCTCTGCCCAGAAGTGTCCCTGTCCCCCCCCAATGCTCTCTGAGTGCTTGGGACCCGGCTTTCCTCCAAAATGGCAGCCAAATCTGACGCCACCTCCAGAACTTTTTCTTCTTGCAAAATTGAAACTCTGTCCCCATTAAACACTAGCTGTCCAGTCACCCCTCCTTCCAGGACCTGACAAACACTATTCTACTTTCTGTCTTTATGAGTTTGACTACCTTAGGTGCTCATATAAGTGGAATCATACAGTATTTGTCCTTTTGTGGCTGGCTTATTTCACGTAGCATAACGTCCTCAAGATTCATCCATGTTGTAGCACCTGTCAGAGTCTCCTTGTTTTTCAAGGACTGAGTAACATTCCATTGTATGGATGCACTACATCACCCCCTCTGTGACTTTGTCTCTCCCCTAAAGAAGAGAAGGGGATGGTCATGCATACGCCCAGTTGGTTTCCCGTTGGTCAGCAGTGGTAAAAACCCTCAGCAAAAGCCTCAGGAAGGTGGGGGCTCTGCTGGGAGGCCCAGGACTGTTGCAGAGGCACAGGGAAGGGAGACACCTGCAGCTCCAGAAGGTCCAGCTCCTGTGCACCAGACAAGGAAATGCCACTAGGATCTGTCAATGGCGCCCTCTGTAGGTGAGAATCTCAATCTATGTCTTAGTACTGGTGACAGGAGCCCATGAATTTTCAAAAATAATTTTTTATTGTGGTCAAATATGCAAAACATAAAACTTACCATGTTAACCATTTTTAAGTGTAGAGTTTAGTGGTCTTGAGCACATTCATCTGGTTATGCAACCATCCCTTCCATCCACCTCCAGAACTTTGTCATCCTCAAAAACTGAAATACTAAACACTTTAAACACTAACACCCCGTTTCTCCTCCCTCAGTCCCTGGCACCCACCATCCCACTCTCCGTGTCTATGACTTTGTCAGCTCTCGGTACCTCACATGAGTGGAATCATACTGTGTTTGTCCTTTCGTAACTGGCTTATTTCACTTAGGATAGTGTCCTCAACATTGAGGACGCTCAATGTTGAGTGGAATCGTACAGTGTTTGTCCTTTCGTAACCTGCTTATTTCACTTAGGATAGTGTCCTCAACATTCAGCTCTGTTGTAGCAGGTGTCAGAATGTCCCTCCTTTCTGATGTTGAATAATATTCCATTGTATGGATATATCACATTTTGTTTAGCCAGTCATCTGTTGATGGACACTTGGGGAGCTTCCATCTCTTGGCTATTGTGAATAATGCCGCTATGAATATGGGTGTACACGAAAATTTTTTTAAATTTAAATGTCATTCCCGAGAGAACGTGTACCAAAGGGAAAACAAATTAAAGTCCATTGACAGGAATTCAGAATCAACAAAAGTGAGTTCCGATTAAGGACATAGAACTTGGTTCATGGTGCCCTTAGTGTCTTCTTGATTTTTCACAGAATCTCTATGTTAAAACAAAAACCTGAACTGCTCTGTTTATTTAATAGCTAGAGCCAAACTTAACGAAAGTATTTCTGTTCCAACAATTAAGTACTGTTTGGGAAAAAAAATACATGTTTATTGAAAGAAAAATATTTTTCTTTTATTCTTATATAACTGATGTAGGAAAGACATTAGGGTTTGAAGCCGATGGCCAAGAAAGAATTCTTGAAACATCTTTGATGCAAAAAGGTGTTTTTATTAAAGCACGGGGACGGGACCCGTGGGCAGAAATAGCTGCGCTGGGGTCATGAGGAGTGGCCCATTATATACTTCCAAGTTGGGAGGGGGTTAGGGAGAGCGTTAAGTCTCTAAGGAATTTTGGAAGCAAGGTTTCCAGGACCTTAAGGGGGCTAGCTATTGTTGGGAAAAGGTCATTTATTACCATCTAATAAAACCTGACTCATGAGACCCTTCAGATGTATATCAGTGGGCCATATGTTTGGGGAGATGATTGTCAACATGTATCTTGGGGGGTTTAGAGATTTATATGTTATTTATATAACATATAAACATTGTATTTATATGTTAAACAAAATACATATAAACATATAAATGTTTAACATTTTTATATGTTAAAGTAGACTTACAGGATCCTGGATGGGGGGCGGGGCTAGGATTAGCTTTCGCCCTTAGCAAAGTATTAACATCCAGGCAGTTGAGTCCCTAGGGGAACGTCACTCTGCCTGTTTCAAGAACTTGTCAGGGGGCTGTACGTAGTAAGGAAATATAATAATCTTTCTTCTGCCTTTGTTTCCCACATCATTACCACAGTTATTTACTATTGAGGTATGTGCACCTGTTGGGCACATCACTGATTCTCCAACCTTGAAATCAGATCACAGACTTCCATCTTTATTTCCTGTTCCATGTTCATTTTTCTTGGTACTGGCTTTAAATAAAAGTAACCACTGAAATCCCAGCTTTGCAAAGCTATGACATCATCAGAAGACAAGCAGCACAATCTAATGTTGAAACTATGAACTACCTTGAGTTAGTAGTTTGCAAGAGATCTCAGAAATTGCTGTGTTTCTTTTAACTTATAAAAATATTCCAACCTGTGAGTTTCTTGTGGCGTTCTCAGTCCTTTGGCCCCCAGTTTGGGACCTGCAAATCCAGACAATTCAAATACAGCGAAGACCTCACCTTGCTAATTCAAGGGCTCCATGAATTGTTCCCACCTGACTCTCCAAGTGACCTCAGTTGCACACAAGCTAGCCCCTATTCTGTTTCTTGAGCTCTCTGATCACGCTCCCACCTCAGGGCCTTTGCATTTCCTGTAGCTTCTACCTGGAATGTTTTTTCCTCACGGGTTGCCGTGGCTCTTCTCCCTAATCTTTCAGGGTCTGTCCTTCTCTGTCCACGCCAATCACCATGACCCACTATATGCATCTTCAGAGCACTCATGGCAACCTGCCAGCCGTTCTATCGTTCTTCCTGCACTTTAGGTGATTTGCCCAACACAAACCCCTCTGAAAATACAATTAGGTCGAAATTAGTGGTCCAGGATTATTTCAATAGTAACAAAGCAAAATGGCAATGTGGATGTAATTCAAATGTTAACGAACACAAAAGGAAGTAAACTGAAAACTAAAGACCAATGACAGTAAATGAAATAATGCAAATGCACAACATTGTCACGACTTAAACCAGCAAGCCAGCAATGCTCTGAGAGGGGATGTCAGCTGAGGAGAAGATGACAGTGTTGTGGTACTGAGCTGCTCCCAGAGACCTCAAAATCCAGATGGCTGCTGGGCATGTGAAGAAATGCCTCTCCCTCCTGAGGGAGGAAACACAAAGTCACATCGCTAAGAGGCATGCACACTGGGCCACTTTTTTTTGGTCTTAAACTTGGTTTTAATGGGTTTCAAAATTGTGTGACAGATTTTGGGTCCAGTTGTTTCCATTAAAGAGTACTGATTCTAGGGGCACCTGGGTGACTCGGTTAAGTGTCTGCCTTTGGCTCAGATCATGATCCCAGCATCCGGCTCCCTGCTCAGCAGGGAGCCTGCTTCTCTCCCTCTGCCTGCCACTCTCCCTACTTGTGCTCTCTCTTTCTCTCCCTCTCTCTCTCTCTCTCTGTCAAATAAATAGATGAAATTGTTTTTAAAAAGTACTAATTGTAAAAACTACTTAAAACTCCCTCTCCTCCCTCCCTCTCTCTCTCTCCCTCTCTCTTTCTCTCTCTCTCTCTCTCTCTCTCTCTCTCACACACACACACACACACACACACACACACACACACACACACACACACGGTCCACAAAACATTCTCCCTTCCTTCTGGAAGTTTTATGATACATTATTATCACCAAGCAGTCTTTTACAATTAAATTTAAATGGCTAATTGAGACCATTCTTTCACCACTGATTAAGATGTGGGGGGCAGGTATTCAGGATAATATTCATTTAGCCTTCTGAGTGTTCTGGGCAGACTTGGGTGACCTTCCCAGTTCCTGTAGGCTTCTTGGACACTGCTTTTTTGACACCCACAACAACTGTCTGTCTCATGGCAGGAACAGCAAAATAACGCAGAGGAGGATAGTCAGAGAAGTGCTCAACACACGTGGGTTTGTCGGCAATCATATCAATAATGACTGCATCACCAGATTTCAAGAATGTGGAGCCATCTTCCAGCTTTTTCCTTGAACAGCAATCAATCTCCTTCAGCTCAGCACACTTGCAAACAGTGTGAGCTCTATCACAATCCAACAGAGTTGCATAGCCAGCACTGATGTGGCCTGGATGGTTCAGGATAATCACCCGAACCATGCAACCAGCTGCTTGCATTGGTGGGTCCTTTTTGCTCTCACCAGACATGTTGCCGTGATGAACATTTTTGACAGACATGTGTTCTTGGCATTGAAGTCCACATTGTCCCAGAAAGAGCTAGAGCTTCTCTCAAAGCTTCATGGTGCATTTCAACACACTTGACTTCAGTTATAATGTTGACTGGAGCAAAGGTGACCACCATGCCAGGTTTGAGAACGCCAGACTCCACTGGGCCCACAGGGACATTACCAGTACCTCTCATTTCGTGGACATCCTGGAGGGGCAGATGAAAGGGCTTGCTGGTTGGATGAGTTGTGGCAGATGCCACGCAGATTTTCATGTAGCATGGTTCCACTGGCGTTGCCATCTTTATGGGTGACTTTCCATCCCTCGAACCAAGGCGTGTTAGCGCTTGGCTCCAGCATGTTGTCACCATTCCAACCAGAAGTTGGCATAAATACTACTGTGTTGGGGTTGTAGCCAACTTTTCTAAATGTAGGTGCTGACTTCCTTAACGATTTCCGCATACCTCTTCTGGCTGAAGAAATTCATCTTGTTAATATTAATAATTAGTTGTTTCATGCCCAGTGTGTAAGCCAGAGGGCATGCTCATGGGTCTGCCCATTCTTGGCGATATCTGGTTCAAATTCACCGACACCAGCAGCAACAATCAGGGTAGTACAATCAGCCTAAGATGTGCTGTGATCATGTTTTTGATAAAGTCTCTGTGCCCTGGTGCATCAATGCTGGTCACATAATACTTGCTGGTCTCCAATTTCCACAGGGAGAGATCAGTGTTGATAGCAGCTTATGTGCAGTTTTCAGCATATCCAAGCCCCAGGCATCCTTGAAGGGCCTCTTTCCCATCTCAGAAGCCTCCTCTTTACTTCTTCAATGCTTCTTTTGTCAATCCTACCTCACGTGTAGATCAGATGACCCGTAGTGGTGGACTTGCCTGAATCTACGTGTCCAATGGTGACAATGTCGATATGAATCTTTCCTTTCCCATTTGGCTTAGATTCAGCAGTGGTTTTCACAACACCTGTGTTCTGATGGCAAATCCATTGCAAAATGGTGGGGCCATGTTTATTCTGTGTCAAGTTGCTACATATGCATGGGTCTTTGTTTCCAATAAACTTTTTATGTTGGAGTATTCCAGATTTACAGAAAACTGAAAAAGAGAGGGATTCTATACACCCTCACCCAGTTTCCTCCAATGTCTGTACTTTTCATGCTTATTTGTTAAAACTAAGAAACCTCATTGGTACACTGCTATTAAGTAAAGTCCAGACTTGATTTGCAGTTCACCAGCTTTTCCCCTGGGGTCCTTTTTCTGTTCCAGGATCCAGTGCATTGTATTGTCATTCTCCCCGGTCTCATCTGATCTGTGACAGTTTCCAAGTCTTTCCTTGTTTTTCATGACCTTGACAGTTTTAAAGAGTACAGGTGATGTATTTTTTAGACTATCCTTCTGATTTGGATTTGTCTGACATCTTTCGTGTGATTGGGCTGGGGTTATGGGTTTGGGGAAGGATATTATAAAGGTGAGGTCCTCATCATATCAAAGGGTACATGATAGCAATGGAACTTACCACTGGTGATGTTAACCTTGACCACTCAGTTAAGGTAGTGTTGACCATGTTTCTCCACTATGACTCACCAATTTCCCTCTTTCCTAATCTAATCTTTGGAAGCTACTCACTAAGTATCCCCCGGGGTTGGGGGGAGGGGGCTGTGAATTAAGCTCCATTTCTTGGAGCAGGGAGCATCTACATATATTATTTGGATTATTTTTGTAAGAAAGATTTGTAAGGAAACTTTCTTTGTAAGGAAGATTTTCTCCCCTGTTTATTTATTTATGCGATCATTTTTTATATCAGTATAGACTTAGGTATATTTCTTTTATACCATAGATGATAATCTAATACTATGTTCATTAATACTATGTTCATTATCACTCAGATTGTTCTACTGGGAATTATTTCTGGTTGGTTCCTGTGTCCCTTTGACCTATTCCTCCCCCTCTCCATTTTTTTCCTCCAGCGTTTGGTACTTTATGGTGCTACAAGAGCTCCAGGCTCATTTCATGTGTGCTCTGTCCCAGCCTTAGAATTGGTCATTTCTCCAAGGAGTCCCAGTTCCTTTTATTTGATAATGATATTAAAAACCAAGATCGTAGACGAACCATGAGAGACGATGGACTCTGAAAAACAAACTGAGGGTTCTAGAGGGGAGGGGGGTGGGAGGATGGGTTAGCCTGGTGATGGGTATTGAGGAGGGCACATTCTGCATGGAGCACTGGGTGTTATGCACAAACAATGAATCATGGAACACTACACCTAAAACTAATGATGTAATGTATGGGGATTAACATAAGAATAAAAAATTAAAAAAAAAAAAACAAGATCGGGGGCGCCTGGGTGGCTCAGTCAGTTAAGCCTCTGCCTTCGGCTCAGATCATGATCCCCGGGTCCTGGGATCCAGTCCCATGTTGGGCTCCCTGCTCCGCGGGGAGCCTCCTTCTCCCTCTGCCTCTCCCCTCCCCATGCATGTGCACGTGCTCTCTCTCCCTCTCTCTCATAAAAATAAATAAATAAAATCTTTAAAACAAAAACAAAAAACCAAGATCTGGGTACCAGGTGTGCTAATTACTACTGGAGTATCCCTACTTTTAGGCCCCATCAGTGAACAGAACTAAAAAATGTATGCAAATGTACCAACTAACCAAGGTAGAATACATGTGTTCACTTACTTCTGTACCCATCCAACTCTGTTTATATTCAGCTAATCATGAGATCATACTGATGTCTCTAACTCCAATCCAGTCCCACAGGGTTCATTCCACCTCAGGCTTCCTGGTTATAGGTAGCTTTCCTCTCCAACGGTGGGAAGCCTGGCCTGCATCATCCCCCATCCATTTACTTATTTGTTCAACTCCAGGATGCATGCAAAGCAGTTTGGGAGTTGTCACCTCATACCGCCATAACATGGCTCTGTTTTTGAGTCTGTATTCTGCTCTACTGGGCTATTTGTCTAGTCTTTTACCATTACCAGTATTTGATTATTAAAACCTTGAATATGTCTTCATGCATGATAAGGAAGACCCCATTATTCTTTTCAACTTAACCATTCATAGACTTTTATTTTTCCATGCAAAGTTATCATGATTTATTGAGTTTCTTAATTTTGACTGAAATAGCAGTGGTTTTATAGCTTGATTTAGGAGGTTAACAGATTTACAACATGAAGGCATTCTTCTACAAACACAGTATGTTTCTTTATTCAGTTAGATCTTCTTTTATAGTGTTCTCCTTAACCATGCTGTGCAGTATTTTTTAGTTTAATTCTGAGATAATTCACTGGTTTTTGTGAATGGTGTCTTGATTTCTCTTAGTTTTTTTTTTTGGTAAGGGGGCATTTTTATTTATTTTTATTTATTTGTAATTTAAATTCAATTAACATATAGTGTATTATTAGTTTCAGAGGTACAGTTTAGTGATTCATCTACTATATTTTTAAATTAGCTATTGCTAAAGTATAGCTATGACACTGACTAGGTAATTTGATCTCACATCTGACAACCTTGTGCATCTCTAGCTAGTGTTTCTGTTGAATTTTCTAAGTAGATTACGGTTTTATTCCTGTTAATTCTTTTGTATTTTTTTGTCTTACTTCATCTCCTTACCTAAGACCTTTAGTAATTGATAGCAGCACAGATAATGGGCATCCCTGTCTTTTCTATTGTTCTCAGTCACAATTCAAGTGCACTTACAGTTTTTCCATTATGCATGATGGTTGCTGCAGGCTTTTGGCCCATACAGTCTTTAAAAGTTAAGGAAGTTTTCTCTATTCCTAGTTTTATGGGACTTTTAAAAATCATAGAGATTTTTTTCAAATGTCTTTTTTTTTTTTAAGATTTTATTTATTTGAGAGAGAGAGAACATGAGCGGGAAGGAAAAGTAGGGACAGAGGGAGAGGGAGAAGCAGACTCCTCGCTGAGTAGGGAGCCCGACACAGGGCAATCCCAGGACCCCGGGATCATGACCTGAGCCGAAGACAGACGCTTAACCAACTGAGCCACCCAGGCGCCCCTCGAATGTCTTTTTCCATCTATTGAGATAATAATTGGTTTTTCTGCTTTAATCCATTAATGTGGTGAATGATATAGATATGATATTAAACCATCCTTGTATTTCTTGCTTTTTAAGGACAGTGTTGGTTCAAGTTAGCTAATATTTCATTTACACACATTTATGTCCGAAGTGAAATAAGCCCAACATTTTCTTCCTTTGTGTTATCCTTAGCTAGTTTTGTATTTAAGTTCTATTGCCTCATACAAGATGTTAGGATGCTTTCCTTCTCTCTTGATTTATGGAGCAAACTGAGTAAGATAGAGATTATCTGTTTCCTAAAAGATTGCTAGTGTTTACCTGGAAAATCATTTGTACTTTGGGAAAAATTTGGTTATCATGTCATTTTATTTGATTGTTGTTCTA